CACGGGGCATCGTGAACCTCATCACCCTGGCCACCGTCATCCACATGATCACCATTACCACCGCCGTCGCAGTTATCGTCATCGTCGTCGTCATCGTCGCAATCATCATCACATCATCTTTATCATCGTCAAACCGTCAGTACCAGGTCGTCTTTTTTGCCGTCACCGCCGACGTCGCCATGCACCATCATCAGCATCATCAACAGCCGCATCGACCTCGACTTTCCCAACTGAGAGTGAGACTCGTCGCTGAGGCAGCAGCACTGCTTGGAGGCGGAAGTATGGCCTGCGCTGCGGCGAAAGCGCCAAACCAATGAGAGTCAGTGACCTGATGCTTGGATGGTGCCCAATCGAGAGAACTCAGCGCAAACAAAACAAAGCAGGCCAACAACATTTTCGCTGAAGAACATTGTGATACATTGACGTTTGGCATCACTGGAAGCACTCCATGGGCGTTCCACCTCGCGTCGAACGGAATCGACAAGCTTGCTCAACAAATGTGCAAATACGCCACCACCATCATCGACCTCGATTCTCCTTTCTAAAAACAGAATAGGATCTACCCCCCCTGGCGATATCGGTCCCCCTTTCGGGTATGTAGACCACATTTGATTATGACCACATGTCCATCCTAAATATGAAATCACAATGTCCCAGGCCAGCCGGTATCCCCCCTCAGGTTCCCTTGTAAAAAACACTATGCGGTGACATTTGTTGTTCTAACATACCATTTTTTCACAAATCCCTCGTTAAAAAAGGGACGAAGTACACACGCGCGCGTCGTCGCGCGCGCATGCCAAAATCCTTCAAAAACCTTCGGTGCCGGAAGGATTTCGCAATCGAGTTTCCAAAAAACATACAAAAAAAAGGGTTTCGCAACACTGATTTGCTAAAAAAGCTTCCGCGCGAGCTCTTGCGAAATCTTAAGAAAACCATAAGTGATACAAGATGTTCACAAAATGTTATTAAACGGGCTTCGCGCGCGCGCATGTCGAAATCTGTCGAACGCCCTTGCGCGTGTGCCGTCGCGAGAATCCTCTGTAAAAAATGGGACGAAGTGCGGACACGCGCGTCGTCGCGCGCGTATGCCGAAAACCTTCAAAACCCATCGGTTTCGAAAGGATTTCAAAATCGTGTCCAAAATAGCTACAAAAACAAAAGGTTTCGCAACACGGATTTTCAACAAAAACGTGCGCGCGCGCTCTTGCGTCGTCGTCGTCGTCGACGTCGTCGTCGCCGTCCTCCCTCCTCCCGCGTCGTCGTCGTCGTCGTCGCCTACGTCGTCGTCTGTCTTTCCTCATGTTCGTCGTCGTCGTCGTCCTCTTTGGCGTCGTGGTCGTTTCCGTCGTCGTTGTCGCCGTGGTCGTCCTTCCTCCTCCTCCCTCGTCGTCGTCGTCGTCCGTCGTCGGCGTCTTGTCGTCGTCCCTCCTATCGCGCCGTCGTCGTCGTCGTCCTCGTCGTTGTCGTCGTCGTCTTCCCTCCTCCCTCGTCGTTGTCGTCGTCGGCGTCGCCGTCCTTCCTCCTTCTTCGTCGTTCGCGTCGTCGCCGTCCTCCCTCCTCCCTCGTCGTTGTCATCGTTGTCGTCGTTGTCGCCGTCGTCCTCCCTCCTCCCTCGTCGTCGTCTTCGTTGGCGACGTCGTCGTCGTCTTCGTCGTCGTCGTCGGCGTCGGCGTCGTCGTCGTCTTCGTCGTCACCGACGTCGGCGTCGTCGTCGTCGCCGCCGTCGTCGTCGTCGTCGTCGTCGTCGGCGTCGTTGACGTCGTCGTCGTCGTCGGTGTCGTCGTTGTCGTCGTCGTCGGCGTCGTCATCGTCGTCGTAGGTTTTGTAAACCAAGTTGCGGGTGGATGGGTGGGATGTTTGCAAGAGCGCGGGATGTGTCAACTCGTTTGTTAAAATCAGCTCCCTCCTTAGATTCCCCCTCTTGGTCATCATTATCGCCCTCCTCCATGTCATCCCCGCTCTCGTCCCCCTCATCATCAGAAGCATCATCACCGTTCTTGCCATCTCACCACCACCGCCACCACTACCACCACCATCCTCCTCCTCCTCCTCCTCCTCCTCCTCATTATGATCATCAGCATCATCATCATCATCATCATCATCATCATCATCATCATCATCATCGTCATCATCGTCATCACCATCACAATCATCATCATCATCATCATCATCATCATCATCATCATCATCATCATCAGCATCCCCATCATCCTCGTCATCATCATCATCATCATCATCGTCATCATCGTCATCATCATCATCATCACCATCATCATCATCATCACCATCATCATCATCATCATCATCGTCATCATCATCATCGTTATCACCGACATCGGCTTCATTATCCTCGTCATCACCATCATCACCAGCATCATCATATTATTCATCCCTCTTCTCATCCTCCTTCTCCCCATCATGACTATCATCATCAGCTGAATCATCAGCACCATCAGCATCATCATCATCATCAGCATCATCATCCTCATTATTAACTTTTCCTTGCGAATAACTTCTCCCTATCGCACACCGAGACGAGGCGGTAGCGCCGCGCACATTCATCATAAAACTCTACAACAGTTTCGAAGGTTCTTATGGCTGACGTTCCAGGAACGTTGTGTTGGCACGATCTTGGATTGACAGGCCGCAATAATCACGTTGATTCGCGTAGCCCCAGAAATCGCGTTCGGGAGCTATTTAGGATCGTCGGGACGCAAGAGTAACGTTGATTCGCGGCGTCGAAATCCCAGGAATGGTGCCTTGGCACGGTTGGAGATTCTCAGACACTTTTCTTTTTACGGGCCACTTCCAGCACTGATAATGGATCCTTCTAGGAACCTATGAAGAGGGAACTTGGAGTTACATTATCGTTGATGCATATTGGGTTTACATTAGACCTCCTCCTCTTCCAACGCACTCGTTTTTCCTTTTCCCCACCCGAGCAATGCTTGCACAAGCGCCTGGGTGTCAATCTGGCAGTTCCGTGCTCGCCGTCGTCGCCCTGTCGCCGCCTTGTCGCTGCCTCGTCGCCGCCCGTCGTCTGGGCCTGGGTGTCGGTCTGGCGGCTCCGTGCTCGAAGTCGTCGCTCGGTCGCCGGCTCGTCGCCGCCGCGTCGCCGGCCTAGATTCTCTTTCCTAAAAACGGATAGACTCTTCCCCCCACCCCCGGAGCCCCGGAGTTAACGGTCCCCCCTGGGGTATTGCGATTTCATATTTATTTTGCAGACTCGTCCATCCTAAAAGTGAACTCATACTATCCCAACCAGGCCGGTATCACTCCCCCCCGCCATCCTCTGCAAAAAACACTATGCGCGCACTCTCGTTTATCAAAAATCAGAAATGTTCAAGAATCCCTTGCAAAAAAACGGACGAAGTGCACACGCGTGCGTCGTCGCGCGCGCATGCCGAAATCCTTCAAGAACCTTCGGTTTCGGAAAGATTTCAAAATCGAGTTCCCAAACAAATGCGAAAACGCATGGTTTCGCAACACTGAATATATATATATATATATATATATATATATATATATATATACATATAACCAAAAAAACTTACGCGCGCGTTCTTGCGAAATCTTCAGAAAACAATAGGTGTTTCAAGACTGTCACGACATGCTACCAAACGGGCTTCGCGCGCGCGCGCATGTCGAAATCTGTCGAACGCCCTTGCGCGTGTGCAGTCGCGAGAATCCGTTGCAAAAAAACGAGACGAAGTGCAGACGCGCGCGTCGTCGCGCGCGTATGCCGAAGACCTTCAAAACCCACCGGTTTCGGAAGGATTTCAAAATCGTGTGTCCCCCCCCAAAAAAAAGTTTCGCAACACGGATTTTCAACAAAACAGTGCGCGCACGATCTTGCGTCGTCGTCGTCGTCGTCGTCGCCGTCCTCCCTCCTCCCGCGTCGTCGTCGTCGTCGCCTACGTCGTCCTCCGTCTTTCTATTGTCGCCGTGGTCGTCCTTCCTCCTCCTCCTCCCTCGTCGTCGTCGTGCGTCGTCGGCGTCTCGTCGTCGTCCCTCCTATTTCCTTGCCGTCGTCGTCGTCGTCGTAGTTGTCGTCGTTGTCGTCTTCCGTCCTCCCTCGTCGTTGTCGTCGTCGGCGTCTCCGTCCTTCCTCCTTCTTCGTCGTTCGCGTCGTCGCCGTCCTCCCTCCTCCCTCGTCGTTGTCGTCGTTGTCGTCGTTGTCGTCGTTGTCGCCGTCGTCGTCCTCCCTCCACCGTCGTCGTCGTTTTCGTTGGCGACATCGTCGTCGTCTTCGTCGTCGTCGTCGGCGTCGGCGTCGTCGTTTTTGTCGTCCTCGACGTCGGCGTCGTCGTCGTCGCCGCCACCGTCGTCGTCGTCGTCGTCGGCGTCGTTGACGTCGTCGTCGTCGTCGGTGTTGTCGTTGTCGCCGTCGTCGGCGTCGTCACCATCGTCGTCGTTGTCATCGTCGTCGTCGTCGGCGTCGGCGTCGTCGTCGTCGTCGTCGGTGTCGTCGTCGGCGTCGGCGTCGTCGTCGTCGGTGTCGTCGAAGTCGTTGGAGACGTCGTCGGTGTCGTCGCAGTCGTCGCGGGCTCGCGCAGCCGCAAAGATGCACCAGCAAACACCCAGCACTGTTCCCGCATGGGTTTTGCAAACCAAGTTGCGGGTGGGTGGGTGGGATGATTGCGCGAGCAATAGAGTTGACCACTTCAAATTCGGCAAGTGAGTTGCACAACATAAATTATCCCATCTACAGACTGCCAAACTATCGCCCCCGCCCCCCTGTCTTATCGGTCCGGCGGTTTTTCGAATTTCAACTTACAGATGACGCTGACCCATCGCCCATCCGAAATATTAACTCGTCCCATCCCAGGCCAGCCAGTATCGCCCCCCTTTTCTCGGTTCCCTGTCAAAAAAATATGCGCCCACATTCGTTCATCAACAATCATCCGTTCCCAAGAACCCCTTGCGAAGAAAGGGGGGGGAAACAAAAAACTACAAAAAACATGCGAAATACACACGCACGCGTCGTCGCGCGCACATTCCAACTTTCTTTACAAATCGCAGGTTCGCAAAGATTTGGAAAAATTGACCGTCACGAAAACCATTTCGAAAACCAAGCGAACGCGTTGTTATTGTATCCCGAATAACTGCGCTCGCGCTCTTGCAGATTCCTGTCAAAACCATAGGTGTTTCAACATGCTCCCAAAACGCTACCAATCGGGTCTCCCGCGCGCGCATGTCGAAATCGTTCGAACGCCCGCGCGAGCGTGCTGTCGCAAGAACCTTTTCTTGCCAAAAAACAACAACAACAACAACAACAACAACAACAACAACAGCAACAACAACAACAACAACAACACAAAACAAAAAAAAACAAAAAAAAACAAAAAAAGAAAAAAAAAAAAAAAAAAAAAAAAAAAAAAAAAAAAAAAAAAAAAAAAAAAAAAAAAAAAAAAAAAAAAAAAAAAAAAAAAAAAAAAAAAAAAAAAAAAAAAAAAACGCGTCGTCGCGCGCACATGCCCAAATCTGCCCAAAATCTGAAAGAACAAAATGTCGTAGGAATGCCAAAACGAATGCCGTGATACTTTTGTCATTTTTTTAAAATCGTTGTACAACACCAGCGTTCGACACAGCCTGTGCGCGCTCTCTGGTAAATTATTGGGGAAGCCCGCGGTTTCTCAACAGGGCCATCGGCTTCTGCCAAGCGGGCCTCTCGCGCCGCATGCCGAACTCATCCGAAAGCGCTCGCACGCGTGCTCGGGGGGCACGACCCGTGTCAGATTACACCGCGCGGGCCACTCGCGCGCGTCGACCACGCGCGCATGTCGAACTCTTTCCAAAACCTTCATCACCGACGCGAGAGCATCGTCATCGCTATCGGCGGCGTGATCAACATCGAAGCCGTCGTTGGCGTTGCCGTCGTCATCGCCATCATCGTCACCATCATCGCTACTCTCATCATCGTTTCTACCGTTGTCAACGCTGCCATGATACCGCGCCCGCCCCAGTCACCGACTCGCACTGAAGTGCCCGCTGGAAGTGCCCAGCGGTCAGCGCCACCGCGGCCGCGTAGGTCGCGCCGCATTCGGTGGCCGCTGCGCGCGCGAGCATGCGCGGGCTAGCGCGGCCGCAGGGATGCACCAGCCAACGCCATGCACTCATTGCAATCGCCTTCGCATGGGTTTTGCAAACCAAGTTGCGGGAGGGTGAGTGGGATGTTTGCGCGAGCAAGGGAGTTGATTCAAGTTCGGGATGGTGAAATGCACCGCATAGATTGTACCACATAGATTGCAACACGCAGATTGCACAACATAGATTGCAGCACATTGATTGCACGACATACAATACACCGCAAATATTGCACAACACAAAGTGCCCACATATACTGCACCATAAAAACTGCACCACTCATACTGCTCTACAGAGATAGCACAACATGGATTGCACTACATAGATTGCGCAAGCTAGATTAAATGCACCACATAGATTGATTGCACCACGAAAATTACACCACACATATTGCTCCACAGTGATTGCACAAAACATATTGCTGGAAACATACTGCTTGAGGCCCCAGCTGACGAACATCCATATAAGTACCCCCCCCCTGTCGCACCTCCCAAGCGTGTGGGTAGGGTTGGCTGGGCGATTCGCTCGAGACTTCCTCGCCATATAGAATCTTGAAACTTCAAGTTTGTAACAGTTGACCGGATGGGGGGCCGGTGGATTTCAAAATGTGGCTCTCGCCTTTAGCGGCGCGCACATTCGTGGTGAAAGATTGCAGCAGTTTCACGGATGTAGTGCGAGAGTTTGCAACAGCTTCCAGAGTCACCTTGGTTCACGGCGCTGAAGTCCTAAGGCTTTTGTTTTGGCACGACTGATGGTTTCTCAGACGGCTGTCTTCCAATGGACTACTCCCCGCAATGACAATAAGTTGTTGAACCTCCGCCTCCTCCTCCTCCTCCTCCTCATCCTCCTCATCAATCTCCTCGTCTTCGTCCTCCCCCCCCTCCTGACCCTTCTCCTCCTCCACTACCTCCACCTCCTCCTCCTCCTTCTCCTCCTCCTCATCCTCCTTCTCATCCGCCTCTTCCTCCACCTCCTCCTCCTCGTCCTCCTCCCGATCCTTCTGGTAGAGTTCCGCCAGCCTCCGTCTGGCGGAGACCCGGTTCTCCAGCTGGGAGCGGTGCGACTGTGCTAGGACCGCCAGGCCAGTGGGCTCGTGCACGAGCCGCACCGCAGTCGCGACCTGCGGGGGGGGCGCAGCTCTTCCGCATCCTCCTCCTCATCCTCCTCTTCCTCCTCTTATTACTCCTCCTTCTCCGCCTGCTCCTCTCTATCCTCCCTCCATTCCTCCCTACCTCTCTCATCCTCCTCATCCTCCTCATCCTCCTCATCCTCCTCATCCTCGTCGATGATTCATATTGTTATTCATCCTCCTCCTCCTCCTCCTCCTCCTCCTCCTCCTCCTCCTCCTCCTCCTCCTCCTACTCGTAATCATCAGCAGCAGTATCATCATCAGCATCATCAGCATCATCATCATCATCATCATCATCATCATCATCATCATCATCATCATCATCATCATCATCATCATCATCATCCTCAGCATCATCATCAGCATCAGCAGCAGCAGCAGATCATCATCATCATCATCATCATCATCATCATCATCATCATCATCAGCATCATCATCATCATCAGCAGCAGCAGCAGCATCAGCATCAGCATCAGCATCAGCATCAGCATCAGCATCAGCATCAGCATCATAATCATAATCATCATCATCATCATCATCATCATCATCATCATCATCATCATCATCATCATCATCATCATTCTCATCCTCGCCAGGCTGCCCAGTCGAGACCGCTCAAGCGCCGTGGATCGGGCGCGGCGCTTCATGCGTACACGAGAGGGGCAGCATGACCAGGACGACGGCGGGGGGGAGGACTGGGCGCGGCAGATGCAGCAGCGGGAGGACGAGGACGGGGAGAAAGTGGGGATGGGGAAGAGGCAGCATCACTGAAGGCAGGCGGAGGACAAGCAGGAGAAAGACGAGTAGCTGGAGGAGTTGGAGGCGGAGGCGCAGGCCCCCTTCTCCGTCATTCCCTTTCCCGGCCTCTCCCCCAGCTCCGCCTGCCCAACCACGCGCTCCGCCAAGCCCAGCGACTGGCCTGGTGTGGTGGGCGCGATCACTCCGCCGCTGCCCCCTGCTCTTGCCTGCACCTGCGGGTTTCCCCGTCGTCCTCTTCTCGCCCGCTCCAGCCGCAACGTGCAGCGAGCAGATCGCGCAGTTGCCCTGGGCGGTCTCTCTTTCCTCCCCGCCTCCTCGTGCTCTGTTCCCGCGTTTGTCCTCGTCCACCGCGGGGCGGACAACGAATGCCGAAGAATACGAGGAGGAGGGAGATGACCAGGGTGAACCCCGGACGCATCAACGATGTTGCCAGGAACCCTCCCTCCCCGTTCCCTCGTCGTCGGTCCCTACACGAACACACTGTCATTGCAGAAGTGGCCCAATAGAAGACAGTCGTCGGAGATTCATCCATCGCGCCGAAGCACCATTCCTTGGACTCCAACGCCGCGGAGCAACGTGACTGCTGCATCTTGACAACCGAGAATCGTTCCACAACACCGCCCGTGGGACTTCAACACTGCGAATCAGCTGAATGCTGCGTCCTGACAGTCCAAAAACGGGCCAGAACATCGCACCTGGGACTTCCACCGTACGCACCATTGAAACTGCTGCAAGCTGTTACCACGAATGCACGCGGCGCCAAAGTGACAGACTAAATCTTGAAAAGGACCAGCCGTCCATCCGTGAAATTGCTGCAAACTTTTAGCACGAACGTGCGCGGCGTTGAAGCGAGAGCCACATTTTGAAACCCGCCCGCCCTCCATCCGTGAGACTGCTACAAGCATTTGACACGAATGTGTGCGGCGCTAGGGCGAGAGATGTTGAAAACGACTCGCCCTGCCAGCTGTAAAATTCAAGCTTCGGCGCCAAGACTGGTAGGGAAGTCTCGGGCGAAGCGCCCAGCCCGCCCCACCGACACGCCTGGGGGTGCGACAGGGAAGTCCCTACATAAGAAACGATATAAGAAACAAAGGTAGAAGAGCAGGCGGATAAAGGAAGAAGAAGGTTCGCCTGATGAATATCATCTCAGCCTCTGGACCCTAGTAGTAGTATGAGTAGTAATGATAGTCGTCGTCGTAGTCGTAGTCGTCGTCGTAGTCGTAGTCGTAGTAATAATAGTAATACTAGTGTAGTAGTAGTAGTAGTAGTAGTAGTAGTAGTAGTAGTAGTAGTAGTAGTAGTAGTAGTAGTAGTAGTAGTAGTAGTAGTAGTAGTAGTAGTAGTAATAGTGGTAGTAGTAGTAGTAGTAGTAGTAGCAGTAGTAGTAGTAGTAGTAGTAGTAGTAGTTAGTAGTAGTAATCATAGAAGTAGTAGTAGTAGTCGTAGTCGTAGTAGTAGTAGTAGTAGTAGTAGTAGTAGTAGTAGTAGTAGCAGTAGTAGTAGTAGTAGTAGTAGTAGTAGTAGTAGTAGTCGTAGTAGTAGTAGTAGTAGTAGTAGTAGTAGTAGTAGTAGTAGTAGTAGTAGTAGTAGTAGTAGTAGTAGTAGTAGTAGTAGTAGTAGTAGTAGTAGTAGTAGTAGTAGTAGTAGTAGTAGTAGTAGTAGTAGTAGTAGTAGTCGTCCCCCCAAGGCTCTGGGGAGCCTGTGGCGGGGGGGGCTACTGCTGCCCTCAAACCGCGGGTGGCAGCCACCCTTCCTTTTCTCGCGCCCTCACCGTTACGCGCACTCTTCCTTGCCCTGAAGGGACGTCCTGGGATGGCGGCGGCCGCTGGCGGCGCCGCGGACGCAGGTGCAGGGGCTCGAGTGGCTGGGAGTAACGTCGCGGCGGCCCGAGGTGAAGGCGGTGCGCTGGCAGCCGCAGTAGGCAGCGGAGGGGCCGGGGCCGCCCCGTGCGCCTCCGCTGCTGCACGCGCATCGGCCGACGCAAACGCTGTAGACATCCCGGTGGACGCCAGGCGACTCGCGGCAAGAAGGCCCACTGCACCCGCTGCATGGGAGGCTTCGAGGCGGGCGAATGGCGCGCGACAGGCGCCGTGACGCGCCCCGTGGGCTCCCAGGCTCACGCGGGCAAGAAGTGGTTCCACATGGCCTGCGTTGATGGCCCCCTACCACCAGCGACGGCGATGGTGGGCTTCACGCAACTCCCCGAGGGTGACAGGGAACGCCTCGCGGCAGCCCTGGAAGCCCGAGGTGGCCCCATCTTGCCCCTGCTGGAAACGGTTGAAGGCCAGGCACCCACTCCTCCCTCCCAGGGAGATGGCGCGGCAGGGAGCGCTGGGGCCGCCCCGAGGCCCCCTGCCGCCGCCGCGCCAGGGGCGTATGGCCCAGACTCACGAGGGACCCCCCTTGTGGCAGCCGAAGCAGCGGCACCGTCCACGGCGGACATCTTGCAGCCGCCACTCGACGCCCCTGCGGACGCGGACGATGACGGGGGGCTTGAAGCAGGCGTCTACGACGACTACCTGGACGATCAGGTGACGGACGAGGACGCGTACCACGAGATTGGCTTTGTCAATCTGGTTTGGTGGGATGCCATCGGGTGGGACCGCATCCTGCTACAGGGCGCGCCCACCACGGCCATGATCCCCGACAGCATGGCTGCCGCCGTTAGCCACGTGAAGGTGCGGCTGTGCCTAGCGATCGAGCAGGCCCGCCAGGGCAACGATGATCAGGCGTCGCGCACGCTGACGCGGCTGTGGAAGGTGTTCTCATCGTTGGATGGGCCGCTGTCCAGCGAAAATGCGACCCCGACCCCGACGACACGGCGAGAGCGTCTCCAGGAGCGTTCGCAGTGGATTCAGGACGGCCAATGGGATGTCGCCTGGCTCTCCATGGAGGACCAGACGCGCACCTCGGTCACCACGAAGGGCCGCGAGGACCACGCCGCGGCCCGCGTTCGCCGTGTCACCGAGCTTGCACGAGCTGGCGAGATGTCTCGGGCGGCAGCGGCAGTGTGGCCCCAGGGTGGCATGGCGGATGCAGCGGCGGCGGTGAGGAAGTTCAGCACCACCCAGCAGCCTGCGGCGCCTCGCCCAGGCGAATGGGGCCCCCCCCCTGGCACTGGGGCCGCCCCGCATGGGCCAGGGGGGGGGGGGGGGGCACAGCGGTGGGAGCCGATGTGGCGATGCCGCCAGCCACGCCCCCTCACGAGCTCAACGGTGCGGCAGAGCTCCACCACCGTGTGGCCAACCACCTCAAGCGTCAGTTTGGCCGCTTCCCCCGCCGCGGCGGGGCGGGGCCTGGAGGAGGACGCTACGAGCACTGGGCCCCGCTCAAGCGCGACGAAGACGGGGCGGAGGCGGTGGCCAACACGCTGGCGCGCCTGGCCATCGGCGACCTTCCTCCCGAGGCTCTAGCCGCCCTGACGGCGGCGCGCCTCGCAGGCATCCAAGGCAACCCCTGGGGACGTGCGAGTCCTGGGCTGTGGGAATGTCACCCGCCGCATGGTGGGCCGCAGCGCTGCCAAGGTCCACCACAAGGACATGCGGGCGGCGGTGGGGGGCCAACAGTTTGGCCTGGCCAAGGACGGATGTGGTGCCCTCCACCGACGTCTCTGCACGATGGCCAACTCGAGCCCAGGCAAGCGGGCGGTGGCGGTGGACCTCGGGGATGCGTTCAGCAACATCCCCCGAGACCTCGTGGAGGAGGCCGTGCGCTCCAAGGTGCCCGCTCTGGCGCCGCTGGCGGAGGCCTGGCTCCCTGCTCGCACACGCCATGCGGAGGGGGGTGGGTCCCAACCTGCCCAGCTGGTCGACCAGATCCGTGGCCTCGACCAGGGCTGCCCGATGAGTCCAGGATTTTACGCGGTCGGCACCGCGGATGTTCTCAGCATCGGTCGCATGGCCGCGCGTGCGGTGGACGTCGAAGGGGATTGCCTGGCGTTCTTGGACGACACGTACTTCGTGAGCACCGCGGCCGCTGTGTTCCGCGGCTTGGATGCCTGGCGAGGCCGCATCGAAGCCCACGGGATGAAGCCGAAGATGTCCAAGACCCAGATCTGGCCCCCAGATCCCCACGCTGTCCTGCCGCCGGAGTTTGCGGAGTACGCCCAGTACCGCGTCCAGAAGCTCAAGGCGGCGGGGTCTACCCTGGCCTACACAAACCACGACGTGGACGCCGACTGGAGGGACGCCCCGCTCACGGACTTTGCCGTCCCGGAGGACCTCGACGAGGGT